TAAAAGAAGCAAAAAAGTAGGGCTGGCCAAGTGGCTCAGTTGGTTAAGAGCTCGCTCAAGAGTGCGAGCTCTGAGCAACAGTCGTTCAAGTCCCGGCCCAATCTGAGCTCCCGCTGAGCTGCCAACAGGTGGCAGGATGGCTCAGCTAAAATAAATAAATAAGTACCATTATTAAAAAAAAAAAAAAGCAAAAAGATGTTAATTTTAAAAACATATTTTATTCAACCAAATATATCCCAAACATTATCTTTTCAACATATTCTCAATATAAAGTTATTAATGAGGTATTTTACATTCTTTTACTTTCTAAGTCTTCAAAATTTGGTATGTATTTTACACTTACAGCATATCTCACTTTGGACTAGCCACATTTCAAGTGCTCAATAGTCATATATCACTAATGGCTACTACATGGGACAGCATAGGATCAACATCTGTAAATGTTCCATAGATACACCTAAAAATGTATGTTTTCAAATTTTCTATTAAATAACTCAAATGCCCAATTCTGAAAAAGATGTCTTAAAATATTCCCTATTTAACTGAATTTTGCTCAATTTGTATTTGGAGCTTTAATAGTTTTTGCTTTATACATATAGTTGCAAGATTAGTACACATAATTTTATGACTGCTATATTTTCTTCATAAAGTTTGCCTTAAAATTTTTTTTAAGGTTTTATTGGGGAATTGGGGGAGGGGAACAGATAAGTTGCTGTCCTTTTGTTCTTCAATCTAGTTGTAGAGGACGTCGCTTCACTGGCTCATGTTGGTATTATCATTGCGCTCTTCCCAGGTGAGGCAGTTGCTCGCTGGCCATTGGACGGCCACTCATGGTGGCTCACAGCAGCTCACGGTGGCTCACGCCCGCTGCCGGCCAGCCCCACTGCAGCCTCACGGCAGCCCAGCTCCAGGTAGAGCTGTTGTTCACCATCTTAGCTGTAGAGGGTGCAGCATCACTGGCCCTCATGTGGGATCCAAACCTGGGCCCTGCTGTTCAGAATTGGCATCCCAAGCCAACTCAACCAATGTGCCACTCGGCCGGCCCCCAAATTTTTTAATTGTGGTAAAATACACCTACCATAGGACTTACCATCTTAACCATTTTTAAGTGTACACTTTAGTAATGTTAAGTACATTCACGTTGTTGTACAACTAATCTCCAGAACTCTGTTTATCTTGAAAAACTGAAACTCTATAGCCATTAAACAACAACTCCCCATTCCTTCCCCTCCCCAGCCCCTGGCAACCACCAGTCTACTTTCTGTCTCTGTGAATTGGACTACTCAGGTACCTCATATAACTGGAGTCATACAGTATTTGTCTTATTGTAACTGGCTTATTTGACTTAGCATAATGTCCTCAAGTTTCATTCATGATGTACTTACTATATTTCAGAATTTTCTTTCTTTCTAAGGTTTTCAGCTATTGTGAATAATGCTGCTATGAACATGGGTATATAAATATCTCTTTAAGATCTTACTTTAAATTCTTTGGGGTTTATACCCAGAAGTGGAATTGCTGGATCATGTGGTAATATTATTTTTAAATTATAGAGGAACTGCCTTACTTTCCACACTGGCTGCACCGTTTTACATTCCCACCAACAGTGCACAAGGGTTCCAATTTCTCCACATCCTCTCCAACACATTTTTTGCTTTTTTATTATTTTTGATAGTAGTCATCCTAATAGGTGTGAAATGGAATCTCATTGCAGTTTTAATTTGAATTTCCTTAATGATTTGTGATGTTGAGCATCTTTTTGTGTGCCTATTGGCCATTTGTATATCTTCTTTGGAGAAATGTCTATTCAAGACTTTTGCCTATTTTTGAAATGGTTTTTTGTTGTTGTTGTTGTTGTTATTGTTATTGAGTTTTAGGAGTTCTATGTTCTGGATATTACTCTCATATCAGATAAATTATTTGCAAATATTTTCTCTCATTCTGTGGGTTGCTTTTTTACTCAGTTGATAGTGCAGTTTGATGCACAAATTTAAACATTTTTCATGAAGTCCAATTTGTTTATTTTTTCATTATCTGCGCCTTTGGTGTCATATCTAAGAATCATTGCCAAATCCAACATCATGAAGCTTTGTCCTATGTTTTATTCTAGGAATTTTATAGTTTTGGGTTTTGCATTTAGGTCTTTGATCCATTTTGAGTTAATTTTTGTATATGGTGTTAGGTAAGGGTCCAACTTCATTCTTTAATATGTGGATATCCAGTTTCCCAGCAACATTTGTTAAAAAGATTGTCTTTTCCCCCATTGAATGGTCTTGGGACCCTTGCCAAAAACCATTTGACCATATATTTGAAGTCATCTTTTACTTTTAACTTGAAAAAAAATAACTTCATAAAAAGTTTGCTTAAAAAGTTTTTAATAACATTTTTAAAAAGTCTCTTTTGATAGTTTTCATGTAGTAATTGCATCCATTCACACAATGTATACATACTTGATTTTATTCCTTCCATTTAGTGTAAACTCATTCTTTTTGCATTGTTTCTTTTTTCTTTTTTTTTTTTAACAAGTTTTTGTTGTTGTTGTTGACTTGGGAATTGTCTGGTACTTTTCCATTTCCATGTCAATGCAGTGTAGTATCTTCAAATCTCTGCTCTCCTGCCTCCCTTTCACTTGTGATTCACTTGGGATCCCTGTGATTACACTGAGTTTACTCAGATAATCCAAGATGATTTCCTTATCTCAAGATCCTTAACTTAATCATATCTGCAAAGTCCCTTTTGCCATGTAAAGTAGCATATTTACAGGTTCCAGGGATTAGAATGTGAACATATTTGCAGGGCCATTTTTGTGTCTGCCATGTACAGTAAGCCTACAGTTAAACCCAGATCTTATTGAAAACTTGAAAGTTTTACTCTAAGTTATTGAAATGTTCGTTCTGGTTTCTTTGGGAACACCTGTCATCCATAGATTTCTATTTTCCAGTCTCTGTCATTATCATCTTCCTCTCTAACTTTATCTCCTCTATTTTTCCGATGCATCATGGGAGAGTACCCCTGAAAGAGTGTATTTGTATCACTGATTTTACTTTCTACAATATCAGTTGTGATGTTTATTACTTTCAACGTGCATTAATTTTTTTTTGCTTACAAGTCAATTACTGTCTCCCCAATGATATGAATATATTTATTTTCAACAAATAACTTTGTTTTCATAAAGCTCCAAGGTAAACAATTCCTCTGAATTTTGTCAAATATAGATAACGTCAAATGAAGCACTGTTCCTGGTCTTACGTAAATATTATTATCCCCTAAATGAGATCCCCTTAGAGAATTCCACCTTAGCAAAGCTTATTTCTGATTGGGTATACTACACGTTTCATATTAGTAGCAGAAAGAGTTTTATGTTACTAAAAAGTCCAAAATTCAGCTGATAAAGGTGAATAGGCTATTTCATCAATGAGGCCACTGACAACTTCACAAATGTAATCACACTAGATTGTTGGTAATTAAAGTTATACTGAAAGGGCTTAAAGGTGAGTGGGAAAAGAGAAAATGAAGAGACCACGTGTTTATTGATAAAGTAGGATGAGAAAGTGGAATTAGAATATCCCAGAGAGGTAAGCAGTTGGGTAAAGGATTTCCTAAGATGGGGAAAGTCTCTCTTCCTGTTTGGTTTCACAGGGGAAGACGACTATCCTTTAATGGTTATTTGAAGACAGCCTTCTCTCTTCCAAATGCTTTCCCTTGGGTGAGGTGAGCAGAACTAAGTCCAGTCTATGTGTGGAGCTCCCGCCAGGGCAAGTGTTTGGCTATCTGGATTCTGCTGAGATGGCCACAGATCTCCAGGTCTCTTGGGGGCTTGCAGAAATGTGTCTCTTCCTGCCTGGTGTCTCTGTGGGAAGGTGCTAGTTTTTCTAAGGAGGGAATCCACTGCAGGGGACTTGAGATGGTCATCTTTGCAACAGAGGAAATGCCTTTTCCCCCTGCTCTCAAAGCCCACTCAAACCCTTCCATAAAAGGTGAATGTTGATATATAGGTCTATAGTAGTGTGATTATTTGAACCAAGACATTTTAAAAGACATTTTCAATTTTGAAAAAATTTTTAAATAAAATGCTTTACATTTCTGTAAAAGAGAAACTTCCCACTTAGCAGCACCAATTCAGGACATATCAATGCTGTGTCTACCTTCAGCTATTAGAACTAGCCAGAGCTGTTAAAGAGCCATAACGTCTGCGTGACCCCGGTGTGCCAGACTCTTACTGGACCCAACTGAAGAGTTCCCTGACCACTGAACAATGGGGACTTATTTTCATCAATTGTGCAGATACAAATGCACCGACTCTGTCCTTTTTAGTGGTCATTGTCAACCCTTAATTGGCATATCTACCACGAAACTGTGCACCCTTTTCCTACCACTTCAAGAATCCTGATATCCTGAGCTCACAGTTCAAACAAAATGGAAGCGCAAGACTCAAGGTGCTGCGATGAGCATTTTGTCTCGTACTATGAAATCAACACTGCCTGCCTCAGGATTATATTTAATAAATAGCAAAGCGCAGACAGACATTTACAACAGTTGTTACGACAAGCAGGTCCTATGTGCAGTGGTCCCAGCAGTAAGAATGAACAGGTGTTGGCATGCATTGTTCATAAATTCTTCAGTACCTTATTCTGAAGGTAGAGTTCACTTGCATCCTTCAGAAAAACGTCCTGCTGCTCCTCACAACGTACTCTCAGCTCAGCAGGGACTGGATTTACTGGGTGTCAATATGCAGCAACTGCTCTTTGCCGTTTATTGTCAAGGACTTCAACTCTCCGTCTTCTTCCACTTCCACCCTTTCTTGGCCATTCTCGAGAATTCTCTTGGTGGTGATGTTTTTGCCATGAATGATTTCGGTGGACGTCGACATGGATTTGAAGTTACCCGCCCCACCGCGACCACAAGACATGGAGAAAGAAGAAAGGCCCCCAGGCCCCAGGGAAGCAAAGGAATCAAATCCTGTATCAAAAGAAGGAAAACCACCCCCACATGCTGGAAATTCATGGAAGGTGGAGAAAAGGGGTGCAGACCCTCTGCTTCTGCTTCCCCAGGAGATCCTCCGACCCCCGAAAATGTTCTCAAGCGGGCCTCTGAAGAAGTCAAAAGAAAATGGGTCCTGGCTACCAAAAAACTCCCTGAAGACCTCGGCTGGGTCGCGGAAGTTGAAGACATATTCGAAGGGGTCTTCGAAAGGCCCTCCACCGCCTCCGCCGTTGTCCTTCACTCCCGCCTCGCCGTATCGGTCATAAATGTCCCTTGTCTTGGTGTCTGACAACACCTCGTACGCCTGGGCCACTTGTTTGAACCTCCTCTCCGCCTCCTCCTTGTTCCCCGGGTTTTTGTCGGGGTGCCACTTGAGCGCCAGCTTGCGGTATGCCTTCTTAATGGCCTCAGACGAGGCCTGGCGGGGCACGCCCAGCACCTCATAGTAGTCCACCATGTTGGACGGCCCGCACGGCCCACGGCCCACGGCCCACGGGCACACGGAGCACCGCAGCCGGCAGACTCGGGGCGCGGCCTCGAGTGCCCCGCGAGGCCGTGCTGCCCGCAGCGGCGCCCCTTGTGACGTAACCCCAGCTCATTGGTCGAGGCCGCATCCCAGAATGCAGTGCTTGGAGGAGCTCTGTGAGGCACTTCCGGAGAGCACAGAGGCCCCGCCCACCCAAGGCCCCGCCCACTCACCGGCTCCTCCCACCCCACCTCCTGTCTTGCTGTGAGCTCCAAACAGGGTACGAAAGAGAGGAGTTTAACCCGTGGAGAATGATTTTCTTCAAGTCGGGTTTCCGTTAGGCTTCCCCTTGACATTAGGTACAGGTAAGGCGATAAGAGTAAATTTAGTCTGACCCTGGGGTGAAGGACAGTCATAGCGTTTGTCTAGGACATCCGTTCCCCAACTCTGGCTTCAGGACCTGTTGGCTTTTGAGCATGTAGGTTATGCATATGGATACTTACTCCATTAGAAATTAAAACAACAGGAAAATTCATTCGTCAACTTAATAACAGTAAACCCATTACATGCTATATATTGGGTTGTCAGAAAAGTCATGATGCATTTTTGCAACAAAAGTAAAAAAAAAAAGTCATGACTTTTCCAACAACCCAATAGATCATGGTTTTATGGAAAAATAATTTTCAAAACCAACATTTGGTGAAGAGTTTTATTTATTTATTTATTCACATCTCTAGCTTAGTAGAAAAGAGCTAGATTCTTATATCTGCTTCTGCATTCTATCTATTGCTATATCACATGTCCTGCAGCCACTGGGAAACACCACTGTACACTTAGGAGTGAATGAGAGTGAAAAAGTCTAGTATCATCATTACAGAAGCAGTTGTGATTTTGCAAAACTCCCCTGAAAAAGTCTTGGGGATCTCCAGAGTGACTTGGCATATAGCAATATCAAAATGATTAAAACTTGCTGGCCCTGTTTACAGTGTTGTGGCTAAAGTTGAGATGCAGTGATTAATTCCACTAAAACTGCTATAACATGACCACGACTTTATTTTAGGCATTTCTTGACATCTGACTTCTCTCCACTTTTTCCTTGTCTCTCTGACACTATATTTTTTGCTTTGATAAATGCTGAGGCAACACCGATAAAGGTCACTTAGCTCTAAAGGGAAAATGATTAACCAATGAACTCTAACATTTCATCATAAAGGGTAATAGATACAAAAGGGTGCGTGTGCTATATCACCAGAATAAACTGCTGACTTTATATCACCTTGAGAGACTGAATGAAAAGTCCTGGATTTGGCACTTGATAAGCAGTAGTAAGAAGCTGATTAGGAGTAGAGTTCAGTGTGAACAGTGAACAAAGCAATGTGGGAAAGTACAAAGCATGTTTGGAGAAGAGTAAGTGATCCAGAAGGCTGGAGGGAAAGAGGCAGAGGGAGAGGTCAAGCAGAAAGGCTGGAGAGGAAGAATCAGGTTGAAGAGGTGGGCTGGGTTCATTCCAGGGAGTTCTGAGGGCAAGGCTGGAGAGTCTGAATTTTAGTCTGAGCCCTCGTAAGCTGCTGACCAAGGTTTCAGGGTTAGGGCCATGCAGGGGACAGCTGATGCCAGCAATCAGAAGGGATTGATAGGAGCTGGGGGCATTGGGGGCTGAGGCCCTGAACCAGGACCATGGCAGCTGGGACTGAAGAGTGGTAGAATCATCTGGCTTCAGTACTTCCTTACTTGGATATGAAGTGTAGAACAAAGGGAGAAGGGGAGTCACATCTATACAAAAACACTTACCAAGTGCTTGTGGTCCGCAAAACCATGGAGTGGCACCTGAATGAGAGGGTGATTCCAAAGCTTCAGCTGAAGCCCTGCCTGTAAGGAATACATACATGTGTGTGTATATGTATATATATATATATATATATATATATATATATATATATATATATATATATATAT